AATACACATACACACACACACACACACACACACACACACACACACACACACGCGCGCGCGCGCGCGCGCGCGCGCGCGCATAAACTATAGTGATTTACAATATATAAAGTTGCAAGAACAACTGTAACCGTAAATGCGTTTCTAAATGTAAAATCTCATGTGTGTCAAATAACTCTACAAGCCATATTATTATTATGATACTACAATCCCTCCATTCTAGTAAAAACAGTTATGATAAGATACAATAACAAGAGAATTGTTAAGATGAAAAGTATATAGTTATCTCGTTATAGTTCAATAATTATTAGGCAAATATTATTATACAGTTTATAAACATTACATATGTACAGTGTACAGAAATCTCTTTTCCACGTGTAGAAACTAGATCTCCATTTAACATTTTTATCCATTCTAGATATAAGATAATTTTAGTGAATCTGTAGATAAATTAAATTGTCTATGAAATAGTTGATTATCTAAATATCAAACGCGATTAGAGTACTGCATGTGTATTACAACCTAGTTTGGAAACTTAACATATCCATGCAAGGCCTTTGTATATACAAAATTTATCTCACTCATTCAATGCTGAGAGAATATAAGAAATAACGTTTTATATATATATATATGTGTGTGTGTGTATGTATGTATGTATATATGTATATACGTATCTGTATGTGTGCATGCGTGCGTACGTGTGTGTATGTGTGTGTGTATATATTAAATAAAAATGTTAGGCACATATATTAATGAACAATTTTACGTGATGTTGCTTTATTATGAAACATTATTTTTTTCTTCTTTTTGTTATTACATAATATAAAGAAATACAAGTATCATCCTCGAAATAAAACGCAATTCAATCAATTTATCTGGAATTAATGTTGAAGTACTTTGATACTATCTGGGAAAAAAGAACAGAAAAATATACTGTCGTTTATAAAATCGGTTATTAAAGTCAATCATTTACTTATTTGTTGCAATGACGAGAAATTTTTATTTCAAGGATTTAATCTTGTATTCTCTTCTCTTTTGATAATATTAATTGTGCACTGCATTTTCAGTTTACAAATTTAACATAACTTTCTTACATTAGGTAATAGCGTATGATCAAGAAATTTTTACAAGAACACTTATGTTATCGTTTGTAATTAGAAAATACTGTTATGGAATTTTTGAAAAACCAAAAGTTGAAAAAGAGAAATTCTATCACAGACCGTTACATACGATTGAAAAGGTCAAGTTATTCAAAGAATCTTATAAAACCTCGAATTAATTTATATCTTATAGGATATATATACATTTTTGAAGCAGATATATGTGGTAATTCTACTTACGAATGATATTATTTATATTAATTTTATATGAATAATTTAGTAATACTTTTATATACTCTCTTGTTGTGTTCATCAAGTAACTATTGTTATCTTGTAGGAAATCTTAGTATAGACTGTGCCTTACTATATGTCGAGGACCCAAGTATGTTTTTTTTTAATCCACAGAGCATTATCATAAATTATATAGTTAAAATAAACAGAGAAAGATGCGCGCGTGTGCGGGTGTGATACAGAATGTCCTATTTTAACGAACAGTTTTGTGTCTCTTAAACTTGGTTGCATAAAAAAATGTCTGAGATAAAAATTTAAGATTTCAAGAAAAATATACAGTGTTTATTGATTTGATGTTGATTTGACTAGCCATTTGATATAAGATTATAATCAAAATATTTTTAAAACTTATTTCATATTTTTTACACAATATGATTTCTCTACTTATTCTATCTATAAAAGTATTAAGGTAAAGCCATAAAAAAATCAATTTTTACGAGTTTATCTTTAACGTTTATCTTTAAATGGCTGTATAACGTCAAATCAAGCATTATCATATGTCTCTCTTGAAACTTTAACGCTTTACATATTTTTGTGCAGATCAAATTTTGTATATATATGCGCGCACCCACCCCCACGCGCGCGCGCGCGCGCGCGTATTATGTTTCGTAAATTGACATCAATCACTCGGGAGATGAACGAGTTGACTTAACAACAAGAAAGAATGTTGATATAAGTCCGAAAATGTGTTACTTTCGAGTTATTGCCATTTTTACGTTGAAATTTGAAATTACTTTGCTCTCAAATTCCTTTGGTAAAATTGACAAAAGAAATAGTCTTTATGAGTTTTTATAACATAATTAAAGTCAAATAAAAGTTACAGACTGCTTTAGCACTACTCAGGATGCATCACTGTAGAGTCTTGAAATTTCCGCCAAAAGATATAAAGTGGGCTGTATCTCCACGCGATGCATCCTGCATAATTCAACTCGCAACTTGTAATTAAATTTATGTTATAAATTATGTTATAAAACTCGTAAAGACAATTCTTTCTAATTTTCTTTTTTTAATTTTAACAAAAAAGTTCGAAAGCAAAGCAATTTGAAATTTCGACGTTAAAAATGGCAACGATTTGAAGATAACGTATTTTCAGACTATTGATTTCATTTTTCGAATTATATATATATATATATATATATATATATATAAAAACGATAGATTAGGGCTACAGCCATTTTAGCGTTACTTTGAAGCATTTTGATTGACCAATCGGAAAATAAAATTTTATCAATTAACCAGTCAAAAAAATGCTTCAAAGTACTTATAGCACTAAGTGGACCGCACTCTAGATAATGCTCTGTAATATACACTCTTTCTATGTATATGGATATTGTACATAAGTTCTCCTTGCAATAAACAAAATATGTCTTCTGATGGAACTAATGCGTCTTCATATCAATTAAGAACCGTGTTAATAATCTTTTACATGATTAATTACAATGATTTAAATAATTGAGATGATTGAAACTGACGGTATAAGAAATGATAAAAACCTTTTTTCGATTAGGAAAGGTTTAAATACAAATAAAATACAAAGACAATCCATGTGTAAGACAAGTTTTTATTAGATCTTTAACGAAAGCATTAAAAAAATTTATAAGAATTTTTAGCGCGGATATTGGTCATATATTCTTTTCCTCTTCACCCCGCCTCTCCGCCTCCATGATCTGTTATAATTTGATTTTGTCGAATAACGGCGATCACAAAGATGACAACAACGTGTAATACTCGCGATCGAGTGGTGTTTCCTGTATTAAAGAATGCTATATAAAGTACTTCTCTAACATTACAAGACATTACACCAAGTTCGATTCATATTTTCGCGCGAGCAGTAAAGTTTGCGTAGAGCGATCACAGGCAGCTCGCTAGTGAGGAATAGCAATAGCGCTTAATGTGTAATTGGAAAGTGGAAAATGTATAAATTATATATAAAATTGAATGAATCAAGAATGAAGTTTGATATGTGTCAAAAGAAAAATTGTGATAAAATTTATGGTTTAATCAGTAATACCAATGCTTCGTGTTCAATTGATGTACCGATATCTACTACCGATAAAATACAAACGAATTGACAATAAAAAATTGTACGAAGTGGTACGAATTGAGCTAGTGATTTTAGTGACATCGGTTTTTTGTATAGGGTCTGTATAGGGTCTTTTGCGCTCGGCAGCGCCGATTTACCGTCCGCGAATCAAATTTTTATAGAGTGGTGCGGTGGGTGTTGGACGTTTGAAAATTCAAATTCTTCGCGACGATCGGCGACACTCGAAAGAGCGTTCGATCGTCGTAAAATGTCCGGCGATGTGCAGCCAAGGAAACGAAGGGAAAAACGACGAAAGAAAGGTAAAGATGAGCATGCGAGAGCGAGAAAATGGGCGCGCGTGACCCCATACTACTTTATTACTACTACGTAATATGGTATACAGTGTACGATATTTTTAGCAACGTTGCTTTCCTTTATTTTTATCCTCGCGCGAAATAAGCCCTGCTATCGCTTCTCTCTGTTGTCGTTTGTCGCACGCTTCTCTCCTGTTTCTCTCATGTTTTCTCTCATTCGAAAACGTGGATCGGAATTGATTCGCTTACGTTTTTCGCTCTATATGTACTTTTTACACATTGCGCGCGCGCTCGCGCTACGCGCCATTACGTGATTTCGGACGTTTTCATGCTCGCTATTATCCTAATTGCGGACGTTGAAAGACAGATGAGACGGCACAACCGTCCTCGCGGAACGAGATATTACGATATATTACGAGAGCATAATGCATACTTTTATTCTTGCTATCCTCCGTTCGAGCTACCAAAAATATCCGCGTACCGCGGACTTGTTAGCTACTGGCAGCCCAACCATGCTGCTGTATATATGCGTGACACACATATATTTCATTTCAGATTTTCATTCTATTCATATAACGGATGGATTTTACATCCATCCGTTTAGTTTATTTTAGCTTCCCTTAGCTTTCGAATATACACTCTTTTCACGATTGTCATAGTGCTGCTCGCTATGCTTCGATTCACTATCTCGTCTTCGATTAATCATTTTGTATGTTGCTTTGTATGATTGTCGTCGCATCGGCAATGGCCGTACCATAACATTTTTGTAAATTACACTCTGAGAGTCAATCACTTTGCGTTAAACGGAATGAACGGAATGAACCACTCACAAGTATTTCATTTACCGCTTTATCTCGTTTATCCCGAATATTTAATTTTTCATCGTATCAAATACATCGTTTAATCGAATAATGTCGTCAGTTTTGACGTGGATTAAGCCCTGATCGTCAGTATCAGTTCTCATTAAATGCGTGCAAAGCGTATATTCGATTAATCTTAGAAAATTTGGCATGGTTACTCGAGTTAGAAAATATGGACTTTAAGTATAGTTTGCGAGCCAACCTCTACTCTTTAACTTTCAAAAATAGATTAAGCTATATTACCCACTTCAAAAGTGTCGTTTCTTATTCGACTGCTTTTAAATTCTGCACAATTTTATATATACATTGTTGAGAGTTTTTCATAATTTAGATTTTACAATTTCTCTACCTTACATTCTCTTTAAAAGAATATATTATTAATCGAGATAACATATATACATTATAGTAACAAATTTATTATACCTAATTTTTTATATTGCATTTTCAATTGCATATCTATCAATTTTAATCTTTGAACACGTATCAACACGAATATGAATTATATTCTCTCGTAAAATGTAACATTTCTACATTTGGATAAATTGGAATGTTACATCTATTTAATATCACTTATCCTCGGTACTTTTTTTAAAAATCGAACTATATGTTATTCGATAGGTATAATGTACATACATACATGTAATGTTCTCCCTCCCTCTTCCTTTCTGAACAAGTTTCAAAACTTCTTTTATTTTTCATCTTAAATACTTTTTATTTTACTATATTACAATTAGATGATGAAGATGCTGGTACTCCACCGCCTACTTTGATCAGTTCAACTGATACTTGTGCTGAAAACATCAACATCCATATTTACAAGGAGAACAGCACGGGTGGACATTGGTGTGCACGAATTATATTTTTTACTTTACTGGCTATTCTTGTAGGATTGATTGGTATAATAATCTTCGCGCATAGAGGAACTACAGATGGTAAATAAAATAATAAAACTTTTCAATACTACATATTATATTCAATATTAATTTAAATTAAAACTCAAGACTTATGCTCGAGCGTATCTTATGAAATATAACACTTTTTAAGTCGATACGCCGATAGCATCATCACGCTGGGCAAGTATATTTGAAGGCTGGGTAGATGATTCGCCATCTAATCATGGCGGTGCATCGTACGAACCGGAAGAAAAATCGGAAGTAAGTGAAGAAGTGGAAGAGGAAGAAGAAGAAGAGGGGGAAGGGAAAGAAGTGGAGGAAGAGGAAGAGGAAGAGGAAGAGGAAGAGGAAGAGGAAGAGGAAGAGGAAGAGGAAGAGGAAGAGGAAGAGGAGAAGGGAGAGGAGGAGGAGGAGGAGGAGAAGGAAGAA